TATATTCATTTTGCATTTTGTTTGCATTTTGTCTCTAAGTCTAAAGGCACTCATCCACCTAATCATTCTCATCTCAGCAACACTTAACTTATTATTATGTTCTTATGCTTCTCTTTTAAAGGCTAACATTCTACGCCATTGAGCATTGCAGGTCTCACTACCGTCTTATAAAATTTTTATTGTAATTTGTGTGGTACTTTTCTATCACACAAAAGGCCCGAAGCATTCATCCACTTCAACCAACCAACTTGAATTCTACTATTAACATCCCAATCTATATCATCATCGCTTTGAACAACAAAACCAAGATATCTAAATCGTTCACACATTTTAATAATTTGATCACCCAAAGTCGTACTTCTGTCACTAGAGCTACTACTACTAAAATTACATTCCATGTATTCAATTTCAGTTCTACTTAAATGAAGTCCTTTAGACTTCAATGTAGATCGACTCCAAAGTTGACCTCCATAATTCTAGTTTTTCCTGAGCTTTTTCTCTCGCCTTATCCACAAGAAGGATATCATCAGCGGAAAACATACACCAAGGTACACCCTCCTGTAACTGTCCAGTAAGAGCAATGAAATAAAGAAAATTGCCGTGTTCATTTACTAATTATGACTTCTAATTTTTAAATGAATAACCTTTTCAAATTTGAGATTCACCACTCAAGTTTTCAAGAACACGTACTGCTAATATATCTTCCACAAGAATTTCAAACTAAAGTTGCAAAAGAGAGCCAGACGTTTTCTCCGATCTATGTAAATATACCATTTAATTATAAAAAAAAGAAATTATATTTTATCAATTGTTCCTTTGATGATTTATATGCATGTTGAATTCATTTACCAGTACACACTAAGACATAAAGTGTTTTCAAGGAAATTGAACTCCTAAAATCATTTAGCACACTAGTATTAAATGTTGATTCAGATGCAACAATTGTGATTTGAACTGTAAATATATCCTTTGGCGTCTTAGAAAGAGTTTTTTAGTTCACTCTTGTGCATCCGCGAGTTTAGTAAACCAAGAAACTCTCAAATCTCCCAAATATTTCCACACTTCAATTGGGATATCATCAGGTCCTACAGACTTTCCACCCTTGGTTTTCTTTAAAGCCTCATCAACTTCTTTTTACTAATCCCACGGAAAAAATGAAACGTTTTATTATTATTCACGATATTAAGATCACTAAAGTTAATCATATTTTTCAGAAACTTCATTAAAAAGTTTATCAATGTAACTCACCCACCTATGTTGAATATCTTTTTATAGGAAAAACACTTTTTGATTTTCATCTTTAATACACTTTACTTGAGTTAAGTCTTTACTTTTCTTTTCTCTTTGTTTGGCTAGTTTATACATATATTTTTCACCCTCCTTAGTATATAATATATTATAAAGATCATTAAAAGCAAAATTTTTAGCCTCACAGAATGTTCTTTTAGACTCCCACCTATGTTAAATTTTTACTCGAAGTGCATAACTAAAAATTCTCACTAAACTAAATTTAAAAATTAAGTTCAAGTTTCAAAAACTAAAATTGAACTTTAAATTTAAAACTTTTGACACCTCAAACTCAAATTTATAGTCTCGATGCAATTTTTTTAAATTTACGGCAATCATAGACTTTGTGAACATAGTTATATTATAAAATTATTAATGCTATCTCGGATCTAGGATGGGCTGGTTGGGATATAAAGTCTTATGGAAGCACATATATTAGGTATATTTTCATGCTCATTTGTTTCATTCACCTGCACTAGAAATATATGTTATGTTTTGAATTTCTAAATAGGATATTTTATTTGATGAGTCTAATAATTTTTTTAAAATATTTAAGTATAAAGACATATTAAATGTGATGATTGTCTTGAAAAATTACCTAAGTTTTAAAAATACTCAATAGAGATGGACGCCTGTGAGAAACATTTGCTCTTTATCTTCTTCTTCATCATCATCAACCTTGCCCTAATGAATCTTCTTTCTCTATTCACCCATTTGAGTGCTGCAGCCGGAGTTAAATCTAATTAGATCTATTTCTTGCAAACCTTTTTGCACAGCTTCTAACAATGTTACTTTTGTCCATTCCTCTTCCTTTCTAGTATTTGAACACGAATATATCTATCCATTTTATGGGTATTTTGTACTCCTTCAATTAGATGATAAGGCTTATTAACAAACCATTGAATTAATTTTATGCTTACCAAAATTAATTGTCTGGATCTGGGAAATAGTTCTCTTGCTGCCCCGTCTGGAGTAATTTGATGAACATTGTTATTAATGGATTTAAAGTTTTTGTTCCCCTTAATAATTACTTTTAATTTATCTACAGGGATACTGCAGGGCAGGAGAGGTTCAGGAGTCTCATTCCTAGCTATATTCGTGACTCCTCTGTCGCGGTCATTGTGTATGACGTTGCGAGTATGTTTATTACTAAACATTAATATTATGCATATAGAATAGTTGTTCTATGGCTTTAAGAAGTTTATACGTGGACAAAATTCTCAACTTATAAGTATATATTTTGCATTTAAGCGGCTTTTATTAATTTTGAGCTTCTTGGATGTTTACCTTGCCAATAATTTATAGTTTTAAAGTGCTTCATTTTTTGTTATGTAGGTCGTCAATCTTTCCTGAACACAGCAAAGTGGATAGATGAGGTCCGCACGGAGAGGGGCAGTGATGTTATTATTGTTCTTGTTGGGAACAAAACCGATCTTGTTGATAAAAGGTAATCAACTTTAGTATGCTGTTTTTGCAAAATGATAAAGTTATTAAGCCAAATCTATAAAGAATTAAGGCTTACAAGAGAGGCGCAGAGTTTTTAATTTTTGAACAAAGCATGATTCATGGCACAAGTTAGGTACATAATTTAACCAGAAGATTTCTCATTAATTTTTAAGAAAATTATCTTATTTCTAAAAAGTTATCATTGGAATCTTGAAAGTCTTCTTGAATATGACAATGATCCAAGCTTTATGCCTTCAACAGCACATGGACATGACATTGGCAGGACTGTAGAAAATTCCCTAGATGAAATAAGTACATGAAGGGATGGAGAAGGGTTTAGTGAGACGCAGCTCTAGATAAATGTAATTGGCACAACATTGTATGGTTAGACCATGTGATTATTTCTAGGGTATTTTGTGGAGTGAATGTTAAATGCATGGGTAATTATGTTGTTTTTATTATGGAAATTTTTTTGCTATAATTGTGTTAGCTTTTTGATATTTTATACGGGACAATTAGGTTCTTTATTTATTTCAAAACAAAACAATCTAAGGGTAACTTTCTAACAAAGTATTGTTAGCTTGCTCATTAGAATTTTTAAGGTGAGAAAAGAGGCATTTATCCTAAATTTGAATATACCAACTACTAAACCAACCAAAAAATAATTTTTTGATTTCTGAATAATAGCTCGATAACTGTTATTTCCAAACAAACATTCAACTACTTTACTAGCAACAATTTTAAATAACTCTCTAAAGCCACTTCAGAACCAATTTTAACAATAGTTGCAACTGTGGCATTTTAAGGGTTTTGGTAGGTATGGCTGTAGAATTGTCTATGTAGCTGAGAGAACATGAATTTGGGCTTGCATTGTAAATGAATCGTGAGTTATGTATTTTATGCTGAAAGCTGGGGATCTAGGATTGTGTGTAGATTGCACATCTTAAAATTTGTGCGGGGAAGGAGGGTACATATGGTTTGCGATTGGATGCTACTAAGAACAATAGTAGACTTAGGATTTTATTTTTTTGGTTGATGGGAGTGTGGATTTATATAATATAAAGACTTGTAAAGGTTTTTGAAAAATTATTAGTTAGTGACTTTCTTAGACTCGCCCTTGTGGAGAAAGTCCATACATGCTTTGAGAAGAACTTGATATAGGGAGTGTCATCATGAAAAGAGGAGAGGGTTCTTAATGTGAGCTTAAGGCACTCTGATTTGTAGTAAGAGGAAGTGATTAGCTTGCAAATATAAGTCTTATGGATTTTTTTTTGTCTCCTTCATGATGATATAAAGATTGATGGAATCATACATCACTTCCTTGTGCTTTTCCACAATTTTACTTTTATTTCTTTAATCAATGTGCATCAATAGCATTAGGGAGTGGATTTAGATCTTCTTAAGTCGGACCAATCAAATAAAGTTAAGATTTGGGTTTGTATTGTACAACGCGGGATTTTCTATACTATGGATGACTATGGAGAAGGAAGTTGCTTTAGTCATTAGTTAAAGTTTGGAGCCCATCTTCAACTAGGATCAATAGTGTAGATGAAGACAAGAAGAATAATAGGCAATTGTTTTATGTGGGAACAATTTAGCTTTAATTTTAAATTGACGGCGAGTGCCAAGGTAGATGAAGAAAAAGATCGATTGGAGGATGGCCTTTGCGGCTAGATTTTTAAGTTTTGAGACTATCAAATAAGTTGTCAAGCCATTTGTTCAAGATACGAACTATTTAGCTTTGATCCTAAGTTGTGACAAGTGGTGAGGATGATGATACGGAAGATTGATTGGAGGGAGAAAGGACTTGAGGCTAATTTTTTTAAGCTTTGAGTGAGTTAAATAGATTATGGAGCCACCTGTTTTAGATGAGCACTATTTTGCTTTGGCTCTAAATTAATGAGGTCGACAAAGGAAAAGATTAATTATAGGGAGGATGTGCTTGTAACTTGATTTTTAACTTTAGAGAGATTCAAATAAATTCTCAAGTCATTGGAAAATGAGGTTGTAGTTGCCAGAGAGAGCAATGGGTCTACTTGCTGTGTTGGAGAGCGAGAACTTGATATTGTGATAAAGCTTAATTGAGTGGAGAGGCTTGAGCTTGCGGGCTATTTTATGTATTTATTCATGGAGAATATATTGAATTTGAGAATTAAAAATCTATATGAAATTGATGGATGGCAGGATAATATAAATTATAAATTGGGTTTTATTTATTTATTTTTTATTATTGGGAAGAGAAGATTCCAAAGTGGGGGAAGAACATATAGAGATGAGGAGGTGGTTGATAAAGTTTGATAAATGAATATCTCATAAGAAGGTAGTCATGAGGTAAGAATAAAATATAATAAAATCTTAGGTGGAGGAATCAATACTTCAATGTTAATTTAAACAAAAAACAATTACCAAACTTTTGGCACATGTGAACTCATTTTTGTAACATATGTAAGAACATAGGTGATTTCCTAGGAACATTTCTTTTGCCAAACTAAACGTTGTATTTTTTTCCTTAAATATTTGTTTGTTTAGAGTGAATAATATACATGAAAAAATAAAAAGATAAATATTATTGGGGTTTATAATTATTATGAGGAATCTTGAAGACTTGCGAAGACAATAACGAGCAAAGAAAACTCGTAGTTTTTTATTAATTTTATTATTGATCAATTCCCAAAGGAGGGGTAAAGAAATTATATATAATGGTCAATTCTAAGAGAATAGATTCAGTGAACTTGGGAAAGTTAGATGCCTTATAAAGGGAGATGAAAGAATATCTTGAAAATTTGTTAGTGAAAATTTTATGCAAGAAAAATTTTCAGTATGACTTAATGATCATAACCTTTAAGTATTAACTGAAGTAGATGCTCAAAGATAAAGATTAAGTGAAAAATGAGGTATTACTTGACATTTGAGAAGTTGTGAGTTTGTAGTTTGCCACAATTTTTTTCACTAAAATTTTAATGTATAAGGGGGCGCTTGGTTTGTTGAAAAAGAAATGTAGTTTAATTGAAATGTAGTGTATTTGAAATATGTTGAAGTTAATTGGTTCAATATAAAGTAAATATAGGAGTTTATATATATTTTTTTGTTTAGCTTGATGAAAAATGAAATAAGTGTAAAACACAATTGGTGGTGCTGGTGACGGTCGCCAGATGGCAGACGTCGGTAGGCTAGTGAAAGTGGCAGACATTAGTGGAGGGCCTTGACTAGTGGTGGTTTCCAATTGGTAGTAGGTGGTGGCAAGTGACGGTGGTGAGTGGTGGTTGGTGATAGGTGGTGAGCTATGTCAGAGGCGGGCGGTGGGCAGCGAGTTATAGTTTAAAGTTTTTTTTGAAATCACCCAAATCTAATGATTTCGGAATACACTGTTTTTAAATTATAGGGTGAATTCCAAATTCACCAAAATTTTACACTTCACACCATTTCCATCCAAGCGAAAGCTGAAATTTTAGAAACGCCTACATTTTGTTTACTTAACACCATAATGCAACAAACTAAGCAGCCCCTAAGAAATTCCCAAAAGATTGAAGAAGTATTTTGATAGTAATATTTAAATCAAAAAAAGATTTTGAAGATTATAGTAATCAATGGACTTGCGACTCATATTAGGAAGATGTAGGAGAAGATGATATAACATATGTTTAGAAAACCACACCAATATCAAATGTTCAGTTTGGCTTAATGTTAAGTGAAGCTCTTATTGCTGTAGTTTTTGTGAGAAAATAGTTTATGAAATGAATTGGAAATATTTGAAGTATTATTAATGGTTTTAATTGACATTGAAAATGCATATGGTCAATTATCATGAGGAGCTAATTTGAAGCACCATAATTAAAAAAAAAAAATAGAAAGTTATGTTGAGCTTGTTAAGATATGTATGCTGAAACATTAATTAGCATTTTTAAGTGATCAAAGAGTTCCAAATCAGAGCAAGAATATATCAAAGCTGTCAAATTCAAAATGAATTAGCATGGTTTATGCGATTTGTGAATAGTATGGTTTTGATCTGCTATACCTTTATTAATAATGAGTGAAATTTTAGAACAACTATTTAAATGCTTATAAGGAACTAATGATTAATAGAACAAAAATTGATTGCATATGCAACTTTCATTGGCATATTATTAATTTACTAAGTGTTATGTAGGTGTGGTGGATTTTAGTATTTATTGAATCAGTTGTACAAAAGAATATGAATATAGATTAGGACTTAACTTTTATATTATGTCTGTGGTTAAAATAGATAAACATCTTAAGAATACTATGCAATAAGAAAGTATAATAGAGATTTAACTGAAAATTTTCTACTTGTGATTAGATTGTTTATCTTGCACGGTTTTGAGTGTTGATTGATAAAATAGTTTTAATTGAGTTTAGTAGAAATGACAAGACTAAAATGCATGTGTGGCAAAATTTTGAAGGATATATTGAGAATGGATTATATAAGAGTGGCTTGTTAGAGAAAGGGGTTGTTTATGTGAAAGTACTAACTAGGACTAATACAATAACAGAGGAAGTAATAACATAAAGATAAGGTCGAATAAAACTATAAAAGATACCAAGATTTATCCAGTTGGATGAAAAAAAATACTATGTCTGTACGAATGGATCAGATAATGGAATTAAATTTTTATTAATCACATGTGTACACAGAGATTTATTCTATTAATCATTAGTAAAATTTCTATCATGTGATTAATAGAAATTGCATATGCATATGCAACTTTCACATGTCTGTACGAATGGATCAGATAATGTATTAATCACATGATAGAAATTTTACACAGAGATTTGTGCAAAATGAATTATACACCACAAGAATTACTGAATAGAAATGAATACTAAAATGGGGATTTTTAAAGCTTATCCTAATTAGTTGGCTTATGACTAACGTCGATATTAATGATGGTGATATGTAGTTATTATAAGAAGAAAAGTTATAATTTATTTTTGAATTTGGATTAAAACGTAAAAAATAAGTCATGTATTTGTATGGATGAG